TTCGGCATCTTGTGCTTACTTCCTTGCGTACGGATGACAGCTGCGCACATCATGACTTCATTTATTCTCTGGTGCTTTCACTTCCAGAGACACTTGTAACACTGTGTAACTGCCTCGAGGGTGCGTGACCATTTTAACACAACGTGGTGTGATCATCCCCCTTGTGCGGCGTGAGGGTTCTCGACCCCGCACAACATGATCTACTCGACCACCATTATGGTTACCGCCAAAAAAAACAGAGGTAAAAATAAACGATAACCTGGTTGCCGAGTTCACAAAGTGAATTGGCTTGTTTTACAACGTCGTTGCCGAGCGACAAAAACCCAATCCCGATGGCAAACACCGGGGGGGAGAACGGGGGTGGTGGTAATGTCAAGGTTGGGAGTACTTCGTGCACGTACGATCAGATCAAGCACCAAAAAGAATCAAATTAGCTGGGAGACAGCAGTTGGTCTTAAACCTTCCAAGCAAAGCAAAAAGTGTAGAAGCCAAACCTCGTCGTGAAACAAATGCGAATGGCTAAGGGGCAGGAGGCGACCACAACTTGGTATCAGGCACACGGTGCAGAGGTAAAGTAGTGCTGACTACTGAGAGGAAGCCGGGGCCCACGCATCCATCGAATGAAGCGTCAACTGGCCAAGGTAGGGCGGCTCACAAAGATTCGCGGGGGCAGTCATGACGCTGATGGCGTTGACAGTACACGATTGCCACGCGAGCGTCAGGAGCACAAGCAAGGTGCTCAGTACACATGTACTACGGCACTTGACCGGGGGGCATGTGCGAGTTTGAGCGTACAAGCGCCATTTTGTCCAGGGCTTTGTTGTCCCGCAACACGGTGACGCTAACAAGCACATGTCTTGCAGCTGGACCGCATACTAAAAGCCAGACACCCGGTTTGCGTTGCGCCATTGATTTTCCAGGGTGTTTCTGTATCCGCGAGGCCAAAGCATCACCTGGAATAGGGAGCACACCGACTTGTTCTGCAATGTGCCTGTCAACAACCGCCACAATCGTACGTTAATTAACACAGCATCGCAACCTTCAACACAGTTTTGGTACTATGCAGGGAGCGCAACTTCATTGATGTGTTGCTAAATGTAGCTTCAAATTTATTCAGGGCGCGAAGAACCACGGTCGGCACGGCGTGCTGTCCAAGATCAGCGACAGGGCGAATAGCTGTGCGTCTAATGTCGACGGGCGAATGCACACCAGCGACGGCACCATTCCGGTGAAGCGAAGCCAACACCTGATGGATCGACCTTTGCCCATCCACAACAGCGAGGAGTGCGTTAGCTTGACTCGGGAAGAGTGTGACTGCGAATGCGTAAACACAGGCTGACACGACCTTCAGCGAGTGATCCGCCCATTTCCGTGGCATTGTACGAACTCACCAACGAGGCGATCCTAACTAATGGTAGCTTCCATCGCCACGGCAGCCTTGGCCGTACCGCCCAAGAACCCTTGCGTGCGCTTCAAGGAACGCCCATGTTTCGCTTAAGCCAGCAGTTCATCCTTGACGCGTGTGACCGCTTCTGTCCTCGTGCATGATCGAAAATGATATCTTCAAGAGCTCTTGACTACCCTCACAAAATTCCTAGCAATCCACAGCATTCACAGCTAGGTCCTTCACCCGAGCGGGTCTAAAACCTGAATGATCAACCGTACGTATATCGGTCATGAACGTCCTCTAGGATGTCTCTGCAGGGGATCACTGCCTTGAGCTTGATGTTCATTAGGAACGCCCCCGCTAGCTTCCTGTGGAGGCTGTAGGCTTCCTGTGGAGGCGGCGTCAACCTGTTGTGTGAACAATTTACGGAAGCAAACGTTACGAAAAACAAGCGAACCTGCTGCAAGTACGCATGTGCACGCTGGTTTTTCTGTGGATTCGAGGGCGCCCCGTTGCTTCCGACATCAGCCCCACCGCATGCCTCTAGACGGGACACCGAAACTCCCTAGGTGCTCTAGCGGGGTGACTTGGATGAGGGTACGGAAAGATTTCTTGACAACACCGGCATGCATAACGTAACAGCATGGAACATTACGCACAAAGCACACCGACACCAGCTTCAAGGCACCAACTCCCCAAACCTATGTATACGCAATGAGAGCGCACAGTACCAGACCTTGACATAAATCTGGCACCACCACCAAGGCTGTGACCCGCCCCGCACAACTTCCCACAACGAATTGTTACGGCACAAGGCTTGGCCAACCCTCATCACCTGTGCTTCATGAAGGTGTCTCCGTGTTGGCTCAGTCGTGCCGTAATGTTGCTTCCGTGGAAGTCGAAAGCCTCCCCGTCTCTGCACCGGGAAAGGGCGGCACCGAACAAGCAGAGGCAGTGTGCGGATAACAAACCAAGCTGAAAACGTCAGCCTGACTAAAACCGGGGCAGGATACCACACGCCGTCGACAGCAAAGTTTCACTTGCTCGACGGGGGGGGGGAGGGGGACTTGTAATGACACACGAAATGCAAAGTGCTATTTCAGGCATCTCCACAAAATGGTTGAGTGAAGGCCTCCGTTCGTACCTGTCTATGAAAGGTTCCCCGACGACCAGGCCTGCCTGCAAGTGGGCCTTCATCATCATCTGTGTCTCGTCTCCCGTCAAGAACTTGAGCTCCTGGCTTACCTGCAGAGTCGAATGCGCCCAACCCAGCATCGAGCATGAGCGTTCCACTCTCACGAAAATATAATGTCGAAGACGTGTACACATCTGGAGAGCCATGTCTGGTGATTCTGTTCATCACAACTCTCACACGTGTTTCTTGTCTCGTTTGCTGTATAGAGAGTTTACCGTTGTGAAACCCTACCTTGACGCATTCGAGAAGCGACCTTCTACATCAAGCATCATTAGAAGCCCAGCTAGTCGACAAGGGACAACGTGGCAATTTTCATGTCCCAGGAAAACAAGCTTGTTGACACGATTTTAACCAAGAGATGGTGAACGCGGCAACACAGGGTAGTCTTACGGCGCGACAAAACACGCGAGCGTCGGCAGGTCTCCATGCCCTTCTTGCCTGCGCCATACTCACGCCAGATAAAGAAAAAAAGGGCAATCCCATGTTTCCGCTGAGGCACTAAACCCACCCCTTCGACACACTTGAGCGCGTCGATGACGAGTAACTGCTACGCTCATCGCAATGCCTTATGGATATCCTTTCCAATGAGGATCGCAGAATCCCATTGCTATCTTCTCACAAAAGCCGAATACCAGCTCCGCGTGCTGCCCAGTCACAAGCCAAGCCGCATCACGAGCGGAGCAGCGTAGCCGTCGCCTTGAGAACGGATCGAGCACCAAAATCACCCACCCGCATTATCTCCGCTTCGTCTTGGTTTGCGGCAGACCACACCAAGCGAAGGTAGTCGTCAACGAAACCCTTTCGGTACTCTCGGCATGCTCCGAAGTCGATCAGACTCATCTTGCCTGAGGACGGACGCAACGCGTAAGCGAGATCGAGAGGTGTTGCCAGTGACAAACCAATTTCAGTTTTCGGTGGTCGGGACGTGTTAACACAGGAGCTGCGGCGTGCGCAAACGCACGGTATAGACACGCATGGTGCATATACACGGCCTCGAGACTCGTGATTGCAAATCTGTCCCGAGCGCCTAAAAATTCGATGGGGTAACGTCGCGCTCCAGCGTGAACAAATTTTTCCAACGAAGGAGAAGGCACCTGGTATCAATATGAAGTTAAGGAAAATGTGTCAAACAAAACCATGTCCCAACAAAATCTTCACACTAATTGGCTACAACATATGTTCAGCTGCATCGATGGCCCGCCAGTTGAGGTTCTTCAATGGGATACTTTTAACACTACCTCTGGCGGCCTGGACAGGCTATTAGCTGTGGAGCATTGAAACTGGGTCTAGGATGTGTAAGACGATTCTCACTCTTACGGTAGCAGTGGTACGGGTGAGAGGATAAACAAGAACAGACGTTGCGATTTCAGGCAACGATTACCTGTCTCGCGATCAAACAGGAAGTTTCCCCAGTTGGGGTCCGTCTGCATGAAGCGCCAGTCAAACAGCTCGTTGATCGTGCAGCGTAGCATCAGCCTCGCAACGTGGTTTCGGACTTCCTGCGTTCCGTTGGAAGTTGAACGCCGAAGACAGCAACCACATGGTCCATCGGCATTGATCACGTTGCGTCCCCACTTACCAACGGAATCATCGTTCGTGCGCCACGGTAGGTTTCAGCACCGTTCTCTTCGGATGTGCTTGCGAGAAAATAGCATTTCCATCTGCGTTAGCCATTTTTTCAGACGTTCTCGGCCAGCTGCGCGTGCCGTGGGAAGGGGCACCACTTTCTTCGAGCGATAGATCGATCGTTGACAGATAGCAGGCTGAGGGGACCCAGCAGAATCACATACGTTCGGGCAGTCTTTCCAAATGGGACTCGCTGACCAATCTATCAAAGTCAGCGCTCCAGCCTAAGACGATTTCTAGAAGAAGGGCGCACTCAACATAGCTCAACTTACCTGTGGCATGGGCAAGACCTGGTCCACAGGGACGCCAGGAGCCAAATGTGTCGTCAATACCTGCCGTGTTCAGTGTCACCGAGACCGAGAGCACAGGGTTAGGAATCATAGCCTTCGTTGAGTCAAGGACACTGAGTTGTCGAGGCTGCTTGAAGCCTGCCTGCCCGGCGAGATGTGACCATCGACACGGGTTCACAGGATTTGAAAGCAAACGTACACGCCGACATACTGTTCAACGGACACAGGCGCACAATACTCGTACTGCAAGGTTTCTTGAAGGATCTGTGCGACGGGAGAAAATGCCGACTTTTCACTCAAGCTGTAGCCATGTGCCGCTGGTGACTCAGCCAAAGCCAGCGCGAAAAGAGTTACACCACACAAGCATACAGGCCTGCAAGGGCGACTTGCTGAAGGGATTGCGTGTTGAACTAAACCGCAACAC